AATACCCTGGAGTTCTTGAGACTTACGCAAAGGCTTAAAGGAAGGGGTTTGTGCTAGCAATGCATAGCATGACATGCCTGCACATAGTCAGTGCTCCAAAAACATCAGCTGAAGGCGTGAATGATTTACAGGCGGAACCTGCAACTCACAAGGGTGGGAGACTTGAAAACAAGAGCCAGACAGCTGGATTCTTACTAGAAAAGAATTGCCTTCGCCTGTCATTGAGTAAGAGAATTGCCTTCGCCCTCATCAAGTAGATTCTGGATTCCAGCTCTTGACAGTCCCATGCCCGCACAGTAGCTCTGCCCCATAGAGGGTTCAAGGTGTGACCTTTCAGAGCAGATAGCCAGGCCTGGCCTCCAAGGTGCCACTGTGTGGATTTGAACCACCAACCTGTTGGCTAGTAGGTGCCCAGGAGTTCTTAGAAAAAGAGTTACTGAAGTTATTTGGTTTTAATGCACTTATCTTATTGGAATTGTGTGTTCATTTTCATTGGAATTGCATACTTAATGTTCACCTTACAAATTCATTTTTCCTTCCTAAGGCAGCATGTCACAAAAGAACATGAAAGGTTGGAAGAGCATAAAAGGCCTGATGGGAAGTGCCCCTCACCTGAGCATCTGCATGATGACAAGAGGCCGGCTGTGTAACAAGAGAAGGCCACTACCTAAGGAGGAAAAGCCTGCCCCCACCCCAGCCACTCCCCTTTCCCCTGCCTCATAGCATGTGCCCCCATTTGTCATTATGCATCTCTATGATTATTGAATGATTGCTCATCTTCTCCACTAAACTATCAATTCCATCAGGGCAAAGAACACATGGCTTTTGCTCACAATCGAATCCTCTGCGTTTCCTATGGCTCTGCCACAGAGTAGAAGGTCCGGAGTTATTCGCTGAATAACACTGAGCATGTAAGCAGGCTGGCACTGCAGTTTCAGCTGAGACTGTACAGCTGAGCACTGCATCTATCTGCATTGCCTGTTCAGTTGAGGACATTGCTGATGTGGTCGTTTAATAACTTATTGCATTTCGCAAATACGCCCACTGACCTATCTCTTGTGCTATTCTTAAGCTCAACTCTAAGAGCTGTTACTTTTCAGCTGCCAGATCACAGACTTTTTCCATCTGCATGGTATATTATCTTTTGGACTTAGTCAGAAATTCATCCTGTTAAAGTTATAAAATCTTGCGCTCAAGGAACTATATGACCTCCTCCCTGGGGGACAGACAACCGAAAAGTGGGTGAAGGGAGACATCGGACAGGGTAAGATATGACAAAATACCAATTTATAAACTATCAAGGGCTCATGAGGGAGCGGGGAGCGGGGCGGGAGGGGAAAAATGAGGACCTAATGTTGGGGGTTTAAGTGGAGAGAAAATGTTTTGAGAATGATGTACAAATGCACTTTACATAATTGATGTGTGTATGGATTGCGATAACAGATGTATGAGCCCCTAATAAAATGTTTTAAAAAAAAAGATGAAAATAAAAATTAATTAATTAATTAAAAAAAAATCTTGCACTAATTGGAAGCCATGAAATTTCTGGTGTCATCAAAAAGTACCCAACATCCCTTTACTGTGAAATGCATAATTATTGCTTGCTTTTGTAGATGGGCACAGTTCAATCATTGATGCTTTCCTCCTTCGGACACCAGAATAAATAAACTATCCTCTCAATAGATTAAGAGCTCTGGGGGCATAATGGTGACACATTGGGCTACTAACTGTAAGGCCAGCGGTTCGAAACCACACACTGCTCCATGGGAGAAAGAGTCGCAGGGGCAGCATGCCCATGTTCCAGAGGGTTACCATGAAGGAGAACCAACTTGATGGTGGGGAGTTTGGTTGGGATAAGTAGACTTTGCCCGTACATGTAAGCAAAGTACCTGGATCAGGGTTCCTGGTGTATACTCTTGCTCGTCCAGAATGAGTTTGGAGCCATACCAAAAGGCCAGTGCATAAAACAGGAAGATGAGACACCAGAAGTATCCAGTGAAGAAGCCCATCACGATGCCTTTCCGAATCCCCCATTGCTGGGCAAACACAAGATTTTTCTCATACCTGTGAAGAGAAAAGGTATTGAGTTCAGAAGCAGCAACTCAGGTCATAACGTGTAAAGAGGCCACCACACAGGGGTTTCGCTCATTGATTATAAAACCCTCCCAAGCCCAGAGCAGCTTCAGGGAACTAAAGCATCCCTAACCTCTGCAGACCTAAAGTGTGCCTCAACGCAGCCATGAGCTCGATCGAAGGGCCATCCCTAACAAAGCCGCGTGGCTAGCTGCTGCTTGGGTGAGTAACAGCAGGGTAGCTTCGTCCCAAGAGAAGAGTTTTCCGCACACATATTTTGTTTGTTTTGCCTTCATGTTTTATGACTTGGCCATGACGTCAAAAATAATGAAGCATGATGGCAGGCTAACACAGTGGTTCCCACTCTGAAAACATTTCCTTGAGAAAAGGTCACTGCATTCCATCGGGGTACAAATCCTTGACAAGGAGAACGTATGCCATAAAGTGTAACCCACCAACATCTCTATGGTGATTAACGACTTTTCTCCTAATATCTAACACATCAGATCGAAGACTTTATATCGTGCTCATTTAAAACTGGGTATAAAAACAAATAAAGCTTCTCAAATCTCGTCTCTTTCAACCAGCAATTCTTCAAGAGCATACGTGCTTTGACATGAGGAGTCTCATAGTAGGTGGCCATGAAATGTTTCTGCGAGTCATGTGGCATGTTTTCTATCAGAAAGTGATGGCAGCTACCTCCGAATAAACAAGTCAGATGGTTGGATGATTCATACCCCAGGTTGGGAACCCGCCTCCGGACCGAGTCATGAACATCCACTCTCATCTGCCCTGTGGCAAACGGGCTATGTGGCCACAACCAAAACGACATGAACATCTAACTCAAGAACTATTCTTTCTTAGTTACTGTTGGTCAGCCTCCAGAACGATGGTAACCAAGCGCCCAACTCAATGAGCGGCTGCCCAGTTCTGCGCCATCCCAGAGCCAACCGGGGTGAAACCGTGTGTGCTCCATAGGGTTTCATGGGCTACTTTTTGGAAGGAAATCATCTAGTCTGTCTTAAACTGGAAAATGAAATCTGTCTTCCTAGTCTGTTTTCGACTAGAAGCACTGCTGAAACCTGGTCAGCAGCATAGCAACACGCACGCCTCCACTGACTATTCTTGAGGTGCGTCAGCTGGTTCTCGATCGGCTACATGAATAGGGAGGAATTTACCACCTAGAAGTCTCCGTGACACCGATTTGATTCTGACTTAAGAGAGACTATAGGACAGAGTTAAACTGCCCTTGTGGGTTTCCAAAATAATTGTTTGTGAGAGTAGAAAGCTGCATCTTCTGCCTGCAGGGTGGCTGGTGGTTTTGAACTATTGACCTTGTTGTTAGTAGAGCAACTGGTAACGCACTATACCACCAGGGCTCCTAAGCTTTAGTCATTCCTAGATCCAGCTATGAACCATGGGCATTGTATGAGAATTTCATCATGCTGCAAGTGCCTTCCTACAGCTCAATCAAGAAATTCATGGAGACATTTAAACATTCACAGGGCACAAACTGGAACTCTATCCAGTGTCTGCGCTAATTGTCAAGCAACTTACACTGCCTTTTTTATTAACAACAAATAAAAGATAATTAATATCTTTCAGAGTGGAAGAAATACACTACATATCTTATGAAAAATAGATCATTTCGCCCCACACCAAAAAAGAAGAAGAGGGCAATTAGAGGTTGTGAAACTTTGTCTCCTTTTTATTTGGTGAATTTGGTTGCAATTGAAGAAAAATATCCTCATCGTAGTTCTATAACACATCCAAAAGGAAATGATCTTAAGTTGGTGGTGATTTTATAAAATTAGTTCCTGCCACAGGGACTAGATAAATTAGATATTAGATAAATTAGAGAATAGATAAATTAGATATTAGATAAATTAGAGAATAAACAAAATGACATTTTAAAAATAACACCGTTGTTCTGTTTAGTCGGGGGTCTTTTTGTTTGTCCATTAAAAGTTCATCTCTGGAGTGATGGTCTACTACTAAATTTTGTTTAGGAAGGAGCCTTGGGGTATCGCTGGTTACTTAGCTGCTCACCGTAAGACCAGCAGTTCAAACTCCCCAGAGGCTCCGAGGGAGGAAGATGAGGCTTGATTCTGCCCTCCTAGCTTTGAGTTTCCAGGTTAGTAGGGTAAAAAAAAGTTTTGTTTGATGTAATGGAAATCTTTCAGACTTCGTGAAGATCACCCAATATCTAACTGAATTAAAACTGTTCCATAAAACTGTGTGGAATCATGTTTTGTATTATGTAGGCTTCTCTTTAGCGAACTCTGGGGGTGCCGTGGTCGAAGCCCTCGGCTGTTAGCAAAAAGATCAGCAGGTCAAATTTAGCAGCGGTTCCCTGGGAGACAGGAGTGCCGGGAGGATCCACAACGCTGGAGACTAGGGGATCATGCTCCTCTGAGTGTGAATCGACTCCGTGGCGGTGGATTTGGTTTGGGGGGATCCGTTTCTCTTTCATGACAGTAAGCTCTGTTATACACTGGCATGAGGTGTAGAGTGTGTGTGTGTGTGTGTGTGTGTGTGTGTGTGTGTGTGTGTAGAGGCAGAGAGAGAGAGAAACGACAAAGGGAGCCCTGTGGCACAGTTTGTTATGCATTGGCTGCTAACCATACAGTCCGGAGCTCAAACCCACCAACTGCTCCACGGGAGACAGAGGAGGCTTCCCACTCCTGCAAAGATTGATGGACTGTCTCAGACACCCACAGGGGCAGTGCAGCTCGGCCCTGTAGGGTCACTATGCATTGCGATCAACCAGATGACGGTGAGACAGGTATACTACCAGAATTTGAAATAAATATCAAACTAAAGTGAAAGAACCGGTTCAAACTCCTTCAAAATCCTGTAGGTAAAGACAATGGAATTCTTTGTCATTCTGTGACCGATTTAAGTTACTCTGCTTAGCTAGCTCTTCAACAAAAACTTTTCATGGCACGATAGACCAAGGAGGCCCTGCCATTTTGTTTAACATGAGGAAAATTTAGGGTGCTATGCACGTGATGGGGACCCAATGCCCATCTGTAGACAACTGGACATACTTTGCAGAGGGGTAGTGGGGAGGAGATGAGTCACTCAGGGTTCAGTATAGCAATAATGAAACCCACAACCTTCCTCTAGTTCTTAAACGCTTCCTCCCACCAACTATCATGATCCCAATTCTACCTTGCAAACCTGGTTAGACCAGATGATGCACAGTGGTACAGATGGGAACTGGAAACACAGAGAATCCAGGACAGATGAACCCCTCAGGACCAGCAGTGACAGTGGCGATACCGGGAGGGAAGGGAGGGTAGAAAGGGGGAATCGATCACAAGGATCTACATATAACCTCCTCTCTGGGGGATGGGCAACAGAAGGGTGGTGAAGGGAGACGCCGGGCAGTGTAAGATAAGCTATAATAATAATTTATAAATTATTAAGGTTTCATGAGGAAGTGGGGAGCGGGGAGGGAGGAGGAGGGGAAAAAGGAAAATGAGGAGCTGATTCCAGGAACCCAAGCGGAAAGCGAATTTTGAGAATGATGAGGGCAACGGCTGTGTAAGTGTGCTTTACACAATTGATGTATGTATGGATTGTGATGAATTGTATGAGCCCCAATAAAATGATTAAAAAGGAAAAAAAACAACATTCAGGACATTTCATTTGACTGACCTTTTGACCTCTTTTTCTTCACCACCAAATGCAGCCACTGTTCGCACCGATGAAATCACTTCATCAGCCACACACCCAGCTTTGGCATAGGCATTCAGCTCATAGTCAGTGAACTTGGACACACTCTAAAATCAAAAAGAAAGACACGAAAATATGACAACCAGGAACTTAGTCACATCATTCCATTATGCTGTGACTCATTTAATGGAATTAACTCATTGTGCAAGATAAGGTGATCGCCATGTACAGGAGGAAAACAATTTGGTCTAAGTTTGGTCCATAGTCAACCTCATCCATGTGTGTTTAGTTATTGAGAAATCAAAACGATTCCATTAAAATTTAATCCAAAAGCTCTCCCACAGCCTCTGCGATACTTGCCCTTGTTGAGAGATCACTGAAGATACAGGTGCTAGAGCAAAGTGTGGTGAAGAAAGCAGATAGTGCCCAGCTATCAGAAAGAGTAGCATCTGGAGTCGTACAGGCTTGTCTTAGAAGAAGCACCACCTAAGTGAGGCATCAACTAAGTCAACATCGAAGAAGCACACCAGCTTATTATTTATAATGCAAGGATTATAAATAATAAAATTCACAACTTGAGGAGAAAATGGTACCAGAGCTTAATTTCTGAGCACCCAATTTGCAGAAGACTATGGATCACTGTGATAGATCAAACTCCATCTGCAAAGGCCATACTTGGATAAATCTCCTCTGACTATTGACCAGGGAACCTTCTCTCAGAAACAGTACATTGCGAAGTGAATTAATGTAGACGTGGTTAGGTTAAAAGTTAACACGGTATCGTTTGTTCTCCCTGTGGACCGATTTTAAATTTGTTCTAGTTTTATTATTTTTGTTGTTGTTATTTTTTCAAGTGAGGTTTTTACTATGTTTTATGCTGTTACTGGTGTTGGGTTTGTTTGTTTTTTGCCGTTTGTTTTTGTTTTTCTTGATATGAAATCTAGCATAGGTTACTGTCTACACAGACAGTAACTGGATTAATAGTTTCTTGGGTTATTGCAGGGGAGGTTGCGGTGGGGGGTATGGGGAGGTAATAATGAAGAGTATAAGAAAGAATAAAATATTCTAAAATTGATTTTGATTGTGATTGAGCAACTCTTTTTAATATGACTGAATTATCTAATTGTACCATAGGTGGATGACATGCCAATAAAACGGTTTACGAGGTTTTCAAAGCCCTCCCCCAGAGCGAGTTTCACACGGGGCATTCATAAGAGTAAAGTGTCTCATCAGGATACTGAGCCTGTTTTCAAGTCAAGCCAGGCCGTAGTCCTACTTCGCTGATAGTAGCCAAAAGCCATCGCACACGTCTTAGAGAAACACCAGAGCTCAAGACTGGAGACTAGGACAGACGTCATGCCTGCCATGTTAAAATGTACAATACAAGCCGTGTGTGTGTGTTGGGGTGTGGGATGGGGGAGAGGTTCTGAGCATGAAGACCACGGTGCTGCAGAGGGAATTCCATAAGAGAAAGTCCCAGAACAGTATTGCCACCGTTTCACTGAACTACCGGTGCTCCACTCACTATCACCCTGATACCTACAGAAAGCAAATGACTCAAAATCTGTACCTAAGAAATTACTTGCCCTAAAATTGGACTTGTGTGAGCCCTACTTGGAATTAACCCCTGGCACAGATTAAGGAACAAGAAATGGGAAAAGTAATGAGTGTGGACGATCCACTAGCTCAGAAACCTAAACATACATATGTAGAGTACCTAGACTTAAGGGACTTTAGAGGTTTTAAAACTTTTTAGTGACAGGATCTTATCAAGCAAAACTTTCAACAGAATTGCAATTTACAATGTAAGTAAAAACGGATTTACGTTTTATTGATCTCACGAGTCCACATTTGATGAAATTTGTGAATTGAACAACCAACAGTGGGAATGTGAGGCTATTTTCACCAATATTTCAATTTTGAATTCAAGTGTTAGAGATGACATTGCAGGGGTGGGGCTTGTTTTTTTTTTAAATCACATCCCTCACCTAATTTATTTCTGAAATGTGTTGGCTGCACAGTAATAAAAAGATCATGATACCGGCTTTAGTAGCAATGTAAAGTCACAGAATCTCAGGGACTTCAATTACAGGGGTGCTGATGCTTAGAAGACCTGTATCGGGATTTCCTAAACAGGGTTCCCCAGAATTTCGTACTTAACTAACAGCTGCTCACATTTCTTGCCACCAATAGAAAAGTCAGCTAAAAGCATGTCACCGTGTGATAACGTGCTCTATGTCATGGACTGTCTCCCGCCTCCTCTTCCTGCCCTTGAATTGAGCCCAGAGAAAGTTGCTTGTATCATTTGACACCAACAGACATGCACGGACCTGAATTCAAGGCCAGCGCCCGCAGAGCTACAGCATTCCCCATCAGTGACGCACTTGAAGGAAGTGGAAACATGGGCACCGCCAGGACAGAGGAAAGTAAGTTCTCTGTCTGCTTAAAACCGAGCCACCCAGCAGGGAAAGCGCATGCACGTTTGGTCCCCCGCGTGTTAAATGGGGCGTTCGACCCACGTGAGTGTGCTGCTCAGGTCTGGCAAGCGAGCTGAGATGTGCTGACGACGGAGGCTGATCAAAGTGTGCAGCTCCCTGAAGCCCTTCGTGGATGCGGAAGGTCCCCTGGAGCACAACTCGCGGAGAAATGAATCTCTCAGAGCTGCACCAAGGGGTGGATTTGAATCCCTCAGGGGCAGCAACTGATAAGTAGTGGACTACGAACCGGAAGGTTGATCGTACACACCTACCCAGAGGTGCCTCAAGGGAGGCAGTCTGGCAGTCTGCTCCTGCCCAGCCTCAGCCATGTGAACCCCAGGGAGCGCAAGTCTGCGCTGAGACTGCGCGGAGACACACGGGGTTGCCATGAATGGGAATTGATTTGACGACCACTGGCAATGTGTCGACAACAGGATCTACGAAGCACTTTGCCCTGCGCCTGACAC